TTCTTGTGAAAAAATATTCATTTCTTCTTATTTCTAGCTCATAAGACAAAATGCAGGCATGTGTACACCTACTACATAAATTAAAATTTAGTATTGCATTAGGAGAATTAGTTACCGCTGAAAAGTAACCCGAAAACTCTTTATTGCCATGTAGGTTAAGGGTGTAAAAATAAAATACATAGTAATTAAAATAATAAGTCTCATTTAATAAAAAATATGTGAATAATCTTTATACATATTTTTGTGAACCATAAAGATATATGAATATGTAACTTAAGTCTTGAAATAAAACAATCTGGATGGAATTTCTAACAAACTTGCTGTAAGTAATTATCCCATCAAAAACAATACTTGTCAAAAAAACCAAGTCTCGCAACTCAGTTGTTCTACGGTAAAAAGTTGTGAGATCCATGTAATACCAAGTCCAGGCCAGGAAATCTTTAACGTTTTACATAAATATATTGACTTGGCCATCGCATGAAAACACGTGTAACTTAAATTATTTAGTGCGATGGCCAAGTCAATATATTTATGTAAAACGTTAAAGATTTCCTGGCCTGGACTTGGTATTACATGGATCTCACAACTTTTTACCGTAGAACAACTGAGTTGCGAGACTTGGTTTTTTTGACAAGTATTGTTTTTGATGGGATAATTACTTACAGCAAGTTTGTTAGAAATTCCATCCAGATTGTTTTATTTCAAGACTTAAGTTACATATTCATATATCTTTATGGTTCACAAAAATATGTATAAAGATTATTCACATATTTTTTATTAAATGAGACTTATTATTTTAATTACTATGTATTTTATTTTTACACCCTTAACCTACATGGCAATAAAGAGTTTTCGGGTTACTTTTCAGCGGTAACTAATTCTCCTAATGCAATACTAAATTTTAATTTATGTAGTAGGTGTACACATGCCTGCATTTTGTCTTATGAGCTAGAAATAAGAAGAAATGAATATTTTTTCACAAGAATAGGTTTATCATTTATGCCCACATGTGGATGCGGTATGGTAATCGCAAACTAACTGCCGCATAAAGTTATATCTGAATTGCAAATGCAAATTAAGCCGCTGTGCTCCCGTGCCGCTTGGAACCTTTGCCGCAGAAATCAATGTGTCTGGCTGACTCTATTAGGATAAATTACTTTAGGTACAGTGGCCTATAGAGGTTGGTAATATGAAACTCTGCCCTTGATAACATAATTTAATGGGTTGACATAGCTACTGCTTCGGCCCGTGGCCTTACTCGGATGGATTTCGGTCTGTAACTGAAAGTTTTTATCGCGCGTCTTACGTTCAAATCACTTTGAACGTGAGACGCGCAATAAAAACTTATTCTGAAATATTCTTCATAAACATGAAGAATAATACTTAAGACAACATACATTTTCAGATAATTTAACTCATAACTTTTAACCCCTATTAAACTATTTTAATTACTTTTGCAACAAAAGAGTCATCTGCGAGTGTAACAAAGTTGGATCTGCGGCTTAGTCGTAAAATTGTAATAAATAAAGTTAATTTAGCATAAATCTATGGATACATTATTCTTTTACATCGGCCGAATGTTGAAAAATGCTATTAATAAACGGACAAATCAGTGCGGAACAATGTTATCAGTTATCACCCACGTTCCTTCGCGGCTCGTGCGTAAGTAATGAGCTCGTCGAAACAGGCTGTTCGCTGCGAAGTAAAGCACACTAAATGCCCGTTATTATCGCTGTAACGGGAGATCATTCCATTAGGATCGCCACAAGTATTCATTAGCTAAGCTGGGAGTCGTAATACATTACAAATTATGTACCTAGTCTGAGGTTGTTATGTTCGTATACCAATAACTCTGCCCGTATCATATTCTTCGTTGGACGGTTTAGATCATATTTAACCGCCTACGTGAAATTTGGATACCAAAATTAAATCATAAGCTAAGTATAAGAAAATGTAAGGTTTATTAATTGTAGTGATTTATTCACTTTGATGTCTTCGTATCTCTATCACTATTATTACTAGCTTTTCCATTAGACTCTACTTGCGTAGATTTTGATTTGCTGATTATGAACCTTGGATGAACAAACGATATAGCTTACGATACTCGGGAATAGTGCAATTATTTATAAATTAAAGAATTTATTTACAGTTTGCATAGGTACAAATTACATAATACAATAGAATCAAGCAGCAGTTTACATTTTTCATATCTAAAATGAACCCTTATGCGAACCGACAAACATATTTTTATTTTACTTAAACCTATTCTTCGGTATGTGAAACTTCATCTTTGCTTTGCTAATATTATAAATATGAAGAGTTGGTTTGTTTGGTTGAACGCACTAATCTCAGGAACCACTGGTCCGATTTGAAAAAATATATTTGTATTGAGTAGCCCATTTATCGAGGAAGGCTTTAGGCTAGGATATCGCCCTACAGCCAATAGGGGCGGAGAAGTAAAGAAAAAATGTTGCAAAAACGGGAAATATAAATGCTACCCATTTATATTTTAATTTTTTTCTTTTATAACTAAATTAGCTGTGCCCGCGACTTCATACGCGTGTAAATAATTTGAATAATATTTCCCGTTTTTGCAACATTTTTTCTTTACTTCTAATGCTACCCATTTATATTTTAATCTTTTTCTTTTATAACTAAACTAGCTGTACCCGCGACTTCGTACGCGTGTAAATAATTTGAATAATAGTCAAAGTCAAAGTCAAAGTCAAAATTTCTTTATTTGTTTGGACTAATAAATAGTTCTTACAAATCGTCATTTTGCTCTTAAGGAGCCTCTACATGTCTCATAATCTTTTTACCCTACCAGCGCTTCGAGACCAACATTTGGCAAGTGCTGAGAAGAAGCGCCGCAACAAACTCAGTCACCACTGTCTGCCGGTTAATATAAATAAATAGAAATAGTAGTAGTAGGTACATTCGATTCAGGAGCAGTTCACTGAATTTACCATGCATTCTTGTATGGTGTAACTTATAAGAATGGGTATACAAGATTGCGTGGTATATTAAACAAGGTAGTGACGTGCTAATTTCTAGACTTACATATTAAGATACTAGTAGAAATGACTCGCATACATAAATTTGAATAACTTGGATTGACCAGTCCCCGAAAGCAGCGCCTGTTCACAGACATGACGAGTGAACCAGCCATCGCTTCACTCGACCATATTAGAGGGAATGTAACGACCCGCCTCACTACGCCACCACCCCAGAGACATTTTAGTGAGAATGACAATTCCAAGTTATCTCTTTAAAAAAAAAAATAATAATAAAGCTAAGTAACAGTCCAGATTGAGAAGCATGACACTATAACATTTGAGAAATTATTATTAGTTTATACATTACTTTTCATTTTAATTCTTTTTAGTGCGAGCATGAGAGGACCATAATCCTACTCCCAGGATGACTTATCATTAAGAAAATCTCGAGTTGTATAATAGGCTTTTTTAAGCATGTGATCTTTAACTATATCTTTAAATTTATTATACGGTAGCTCTTTATATTTATCAGGGACTTTGTTATAAAAATGGATACCTTGTCCCATAAAAGTGGCAAACACTTTATTAAGTCTAAAAGCGGGTATAGCCAATTTATTTTTATTTCTAGTGTTAATTTGGTGAATATCACTTTTCTTTTTGAATTCAGTAATATTTCCCGTTTTTGCAACATTTTACACTAATGATCATAGTTAAAATACTTAGTATTTTAATATTTTTCCCGAGAGCTAATAGCCGTCTGCTCGCCAGAACACTTTGAATCATGCGAGTCCATTTGGCTCTTATTTCATTTTTTCTACATTTTGTTTGTGCATCGTTTTTTGTAAATACAGACTATTTCGAGATCTTGACGAGAGCAATAAACTCCTGCCATAATAACGTTAAGCTTGCCACGCACGACTACTTACGAATATTTTATTCAATATTAATATATTAAAATGCCATTTTCCCTAATAGGTACAATGAATCAGTTGAAATACAACTGATATCTTCCCGGAATTGATATATGTACCTGCAATATATATAAATAAGTTACTAAAAGCACTATCATAATACCTTTATTACGAGTATAATAAGACATTTTTATAATGTTTTTGTCTTCTTACATTGTCTTTTTACGGATCCCTTAGAAATACGTAAAATATTGATGTTAGTTAGACATAGCACATTTACGTTAATTAAAGACACATTTTCTACTACCAAAGCTAAAAAAAATGTATTATAGTTTGAAGTTAAATTACAGCCGTTTTGTGTGTTATATCACGACAACTATTAATAAAACCGTCAATACCCTTGAAATAAAAACAAGAGATGTTGATGATAAGACAATCAAACAATATTTTACCTCTGTAAAAATGTTAATGGCACTCAAGAGTCAGAAAAATAATATGAAATGTTCTAGAAATCCGGAGCTGATTTAATGCTGTGATGTTTTGCCAAAAAAACATTCCAGTTGGGTACATTGAGTAGGTATTTGATTTTACAATCTAGCCGAAAATGTGGTAATAAATAATAATGCGTGTGTGTTAATTTTGGCGCGAGCGCGGGCGCAGCGATCGGCGTGCAGTGAGCGCCCGCCGCCGGTTCGCGACGCCCGCCCTACCCGGCCGCCCAACGGACCCCGATCCGATACCGCACTTATGTACGTTCGACATAACATCTAACTTATTACGCTAGTTACGGAAATAGTCACGGCCGTTACGGTTGCAGAAGTAATAGAATTGTTACAGTTGCATTTATGGTGCTTGTAAAATTTGAAACGCTTGATAAGAATGTGAATTTATATGAATTGATAAATAAATAAAAGTGTTTTTTTTTTTTTTCAAAATTTTACTTGTTAAACCTCTTCGTGTAACAGTTGAACGAGGATTTAACATTAAGGTTCAAACGTGAACAAAAATAGTCAACAGTATTTAAATGTGACTCATTATTATTTTTAACTGGTTCCATGGTGATCGCACTTTAAATTATTTGACTATTTGTGTTTAAGGCCCGTATTATGAAACGTTATCTAAAGATGAATCTTTACTCAAGACTATTCAGGCCTATGATTAATACAAATTGAAATTCAACCAATCCCAGTTTTGCGTCTGCGCTTGAGATTTAATTCAATTTTGAACTCCGTTTCAGAACACGAGCTTTTATAATTTACATAAATTTCTTAAATAAGGCTTAACAGATCAATACAGAGAATGTTTATAAAACTTTTAATGATCAGTTAAATTGGAGGAATGGTAAGTTATGAAAAAAATTGACATTCAACCAGGAATTAATATGAAACTGGGCCGTCGCATACTACTCACATGTAAATGGAAGTGAAACACTGAAAGGATTATTTGCATTCATTCACTATAAACTTGTGTAACAGTGTATTAACGTGAATTCACATGTGAATTAAACTGCCCACGCGACTACTTAGCAAATGATTGTGACAAAGATTTGTATTCTGATACCAAACTAAATAGTGGGGATTAGACCGTAACGGTCATGAACCGGTTACGGGTAATGTTGCCAATCAAAATAATCAGTCACTGACGCATTTGAGTGTATAAATATTCGTCTAAAGTCCTGTTACTAGCGCTGGATAGTAACATAAAATGACGGCGTTCTACAAGCAATGTGTGGCATGGAAAAATGGTTACTGCCCCGATGAAACATGTGATTTATAAATAGGCTATCATTTGCGTAAACACATCTCGTGACGCACTTTTTCTGCTAATGCAAAAATAATAAAACATGCATAGTCTATAACTATAGTGTTGGAATCAAAGTCATTTAATATATTGATATTTTGGCATTGTGACAAAAGTTTTCGAGATGAACATTAGGAATTTAAACTTAGCAACAAAGTCCAGTGTAAATCTTTAATCATATTTTTGATTTAAATTAAGAAGACCTCATCTTCATCCTCATTGAAATAGAAATTAGGTATATCTTAATTTCAATCGCAGAGCTTAATTTATTCTCTTTGAAATATTTCCCTGAAAACATTCACTACGGTATGAATGGTATAATTAAAATCATAAAGTTATTTTAATGTAAGTAGCTATTTATTTTGCTTAATTGATATAAAGTAGGTGACAGTGATGTGCTATTAATATTGTTGTTATTTGTTAGAGCTCTTTATGCTAACTTAATTAATGAATACAAATGCCAAATTAATAACCTTTCACAAACTAGAATATAGTGCAACATAATAGTTCTAATCTAATCAACGGAAAAAAACATAAAAAAAAAATGTAAACACGCAGGTGTACACTCTAAATAAAGATGGGAATCTAAAATCGGCATGACGACATGCTCACGGCATATAAAATTGACATCGCCCACGCAACGTCTATCAAAAATCATATAAATCTCTCCCGAGATCATTTCAGCTACCGCAGTGACCGTTCGAGGCGTAAAAATAAACGTGGTCGCCCGGCCGAGAGCGATTCGCGACATTTACATCGGTTGCACTTTCTATTTACGACGCATAGCCATCCCAGGGAACCGTTACGGCTTACCCCCAATGACCTTGCCACGATAATCAACTATTAAATAATCTCGAGAAGTGCAGTTTAAATAAGTTGTGTCGTGTTGTCAGTGCAGTGTAAGAAGAGTTTTGGGCAGCGATGGTGGCGGGAGACGTGACGCGGCGCGCGTCCATCACTGCGCCCTCTATGCACCGGCGGCCCTCGGCGCGCCGCGGCTCGCTCATTAAAAACCCACAATCTCAGTCTCAGGTAATTATCCACACCTTGAATCATACACACCGACAAAAGTCCCTCCTTCCTCTTTCAAACATTCATAAATCTTAAACTTCCATTACATAGGTACATGTAAATATGAACAGTGCTGTTCAACGGGTCAAAATTGATTGCCTTGCTCGAAGATGCATGTTTCCTTGCAAACGTGATAACCAGCAGCTGTGAAGTCATCTATTTATTTGAGGAATGATTATTCTAACAGGAAATGCCTAACAGAATGAAGGAAATCGCTGGTCTATACTCAGATGCATTCCGTAATTTCAAATACGTAGTAGGTACCTGATTGTGCTGCTTTATAACAGCTGCCTGATAGATCTGAATTAAACTAACAACTATTCTTTTGCGATGAACAATATACATATATGCGCTGCGTAAAAGAATAGTGGTTTCTTCGTATAGCATCTTAACAACTAGAAAGTTAAACAATGTAGGTAAATACTTAGATTAATAAAACCTAGATAGATAGTCAGTGCACGAAAGGTGAGGCAGATTTTAGTAAGCCAGAATGGCTTACTCGTAAACGTCACATGAACTGTCAAAGTGAAAAATTGGTAAAAACGTCCGACGACTTTTAATTAATTAAGACGGTTTGTGCTATGAAAGGGTGTCTTAATACATCAGAAAAACTCAAGAAAGTGACTAGTGTTACATTTCATAAGTAAGTATAGCCTGACCAGTTGCATTTGATAGTGCAACACTGAGTACAGTCGTACCTGTGTTAAATTATTAGGCTAACTTTATGTATCAGGATTGAGGATTACGGGCTAATTTGATATTTTCATAAATTAACGAAAAAATATTATTATCTTAGGTAACCTGGTTTAAATAAATTAAATGAAAACATCAATCGAGCTAGTAGGATTTATTTTATTATTCATCAATAATCAAATTCAGAACTTGAATATTCAACTGCAATGTCTGCTCATGAACTCCTTCTCGCTTAAAACTCGGTACTTCTTTCCCAATTCCATAAAATTCAACTCTTAGAAAGTGACAAAAAACTTTAAAATAGGTAGTTGAAATAAACAACAGCTAATTTTCATAGTGGACTGTACTATACGATAAACATGTCAGTCAATTTGACACCCTTGTCGGAAAAATTATTCAATGAAAATATTGTCCGAACCCTTAGTATTTCTCTTCGACAAATACTTTAACACATTGTGAACCACTTTTCTTTCACGACTATAAAAAGATTTTAGCAATTTAATTCACAAAATCAATTGCGCCCATTTAAAATAAAGTTTGTTTACACTTTGACAGCAATAGACTGACATGCAAGGTGACATGTCAATGAAGTTTTCAGTTACTGTTGCCATTAAAAGAAATTAGTACCATTAGTTTTCCGCAACATGGCGAGGGTTTTTATGTTCCTGCCCCCCTAGACAAAACGCACTTTTTGATCGAATCGAAAATCGAATCCGTCAAAACTCCATACAAAAAAGGGGCTTTTCGACCACTTTTCGACTGGTTTGCGATTAAAATTTGCACTTTGTCTAGACCCACTGGTCAGGCTATACTATGATTCGACGCGTATTTTGCTTGAATTTGGCTTTCAAAAATTAAATACGGGAATGATACCAGTAACAAGAAAATTTATTTCCCAATTGTTCGCCGTACAAATACACTTCCTTTTTTATGAAATCGAGACTTTTCAGTCGATTTATCTTATTGTAATTAGGAAGGTACTTTGAATTCAATAAATAAGTAAGTACATGATGCATTTTGTTTTTGTTAGTTATAAAATAATTAAAAACGTATTAAAAATTTCCCTACTTTCGGGAAAATCGCCTTCACTGTCTACACTCCCCAACAAAATTGACACTAATGACATAAGATTTTTGCCTCACTCTTGACGAAGCGTTTGTATGAAGACTATCCATCTAGGTTTTATTAATCTCAGGGTAAATAAAAATGTAATTAAGCGTAAAAATAGAAAAAAAAAAGTGTAATTTTATTCTTTTTTAAGTATTCAACGGTAGTTTGTTTACAATGTCCAAATTCATAATACGGTCAAGAAATGTTTACCTACACTGAGAGCTGTAATAAATTAGCACTTTTCCACTGTTATTTCTGGATTGGACGGACCAGGCGGTTGCTAACCGTGGCAACAGCCTATCAAGCCCTGAGGGAAAGCAAAACTATCATGGGTACCCCAAACGAATCATAAAGTAAATACTGGGAGTTCTAAATTGAGTACCAACCTCTCTCTTGGGTCAAGCGAGAGACAGATAACAAATGAAGGGATAAATAAAAAGCTTAAGAAAAGAGATAGGCACGAGTTCATCACGGGCAATATTTTAGACACTATGAAGACGTGAGCTGTTAACTAACTGCCATCGTAATGTGAATGCATCATTTCTCAAACTGGGGATTCTGTTCATGTACGAGGTCGAGAAGGCATGTAATAAATGCCAAGATTGCGGAAAGACGTCATGGACGTCAATACAATAAATCTAGACAAGTGTAAATAAATACACAAACAATTCGCAATCCATTTATTACATAACTAGTATAACAGAACCAGATAAAATTAGTAAAGAAATGAACTTGCCAAAATTTTTGTTTATAATAAGACCGGCTTGTGTTTATAGTGAAATTCATGAGCCGACCGTAATGATGTTCATTAAATTGTTTGTTTTTCATTAAGCCTAATTGTTTTTACTAAAATGTTGGGAAACGTAGGCACGTATAAGAATAATCACGGTAATCTCTTGGGCGTACAAAAACGTGTGACGTCCAAAGGTCCTCGATCCGAATAGCTTAATTGCCTCGCGTTTAATAACAGCTTTCTATTAACAAAGAAAACTTATTATGTGAAAATCTGGTGATGGTAGCAAGAAGCACCTGGAACATCTGGCGTTGTGGAAAGCCCCTCCTCCTTGTCGTTGGGAGAGTATGACTTTTCCCTAAGAGCCGATAACATTATTGACGATTTGAATATCTATTCAATGTTCTAATGAAAGCTCTAAGTACTTTTTTGATTCAGGGGAGCACGAGAGTTAGTTTTATGCGTGAAAACTTATCATCATTATTGTTACCAGGTCATTTATTGTACTCTGCAAGAGCATGACCCTCTAATGTACAAGAAGCAAATGGAACACTTAGGCTATTTGATACTTCCCACGCTGGCCTGTCAAGTTAGGGAGGCCTGAGGGCTTAGTGTGAGTTTACATCAAACGTCCTCACTAGTGAGCGCATTAAAAAAATATATAAAATGTTTGGTTCTTGAAAGTTTCCGCTAGGGGCGCTGTACAATCCGTCATACATTTATTGACATAATTTTACGCTCTCACTAGTGAGGACGTTTGATGTAAAGTCACACTAAACCCTCTGATGTTCGCCTTATGTGTCCCTTAACCTCCTTTTGCGACATCCACGAGAAGAATATAAGTGGTTTTTATAATTTGCCGGCACCACATAGCTAACCCAGCATTTCGTTAACTGTCATTTCAGGAAGTGCCATGGGACATCATCGACCGGTGCGCGCTGCCCATAGTGCTGTGTCACGCGCTAGCTGTGGTCCTCTCCACGTTGCTTAATGCGCTACACCTCAGTCAAATCTCCGTGTTCACTCTGTTCCTCTGGTTCGCCATCTCTGTCGTTGGCTCGCTGTGGTTCTACCATAACTTGCAGGTAATATGCCCTTATTGACCTAACGAATAAACTAGTTGAGTTACAACAAGGTATAGTTTAGGTGATTCTCTTTTGACTGGAAAAGAGAGATGTATGAGTTTGCGTGGATTCGTGTGACGTTTCGATAAAAGTATTCTTTACTGTAAAGATATGAAATGAAGCTGGAAGTAACTATTAATATTAACAAGCATTTATACACTAAAATGTTATTTCTATACTATACGTCCGCGTCACTTTGAATTTATACGCGCGTGTAATTTTTGTGAGTAAGGAAGTTAATATTTTATATTATTTTATAGGGTTAGTTTTAATATTTTAAAAGAAAAAACACATTCGAGAAAATTTTCAAAGATCGAAAATTTTAATTAAATAATTAAGTATCTGGTACTTAAATATTTTTATCATACTACATACTATATCCATAGTTGGAAAATGAAAAATTTAGAATCTGAAAAATGTAATTCTCACAAAATACCAATTGCAGCAAATAAACACTTCTACAAAGTAAGAAAGTTTATTTGTTTGTTTGTCGTCGTCGTTCTGAAACTAAGTCACCCGTGTGGATATACGCATTCAATAACAAGGACCTAAATGATAACCTTGTCATAATACCGCCGCCCACTGCTCTTCTTTGCTTGATATATATCTTCGATTGTGTTTTCACAACTCTCTCAACTGCGTATGTGTAATAACTCAATATTTCTTCATATTATTTTAACCTTATTTGAAAATAAAAAATATAACATTGAAACACGAGGCTGTGTCAACCGTTATACTTAAAAACACTCTCAGCTGTAATCATTTATTCTTCTCCTACTCAAACTCTAATAAAAACGACTAACTAGAATGTTTTTATTTAGTTGATCATTTTTATTTAGGCTTTAGGTTGTAAGAATGAAATTTCAAGAGTTTATTGGACATCATTTTTATTCCCTTAATAGAAAATGTAACAATAATCACTACATTAAAATGCAGACTTATGAAAGAAACACCTAAAACAAAAGAGCTTCGAACTAACAATACGATGTATAAAGGCACGTGTAGAATTCTTTATGATCTTTCACACCGTGGCGTGCATCAACCCGGTGCTCATTTCCATAACAAAATTACTTAACCTCATGTAGACCATAATACATAAACATACATTTTGTGATCTAATATTACTGCACGTGTTCAAACAAGAATTCAACATGTAAGGGAAGAAATACTGATAAACGATACGTTTATTTACAGAATCAGCCAGGAGTATAATATGGTAGATAGATACTTTTATGTTTAGCAATTATGTTTCTGTTAGATCAAATAATAAGTTAGTCTTTCGTTAGGCACTAACCAAAAGGTCTGATGTTGACCTTTCATTTAAGCTTAAGCGGCCAGAACTGATACTACGAGTACAATGAGTATTTTGTACGTTTAATTATGAAATTAATATTGCTACGGTTAACTATGCTAAAATCAACCGTCTAAAGCGACCGAAGTTTGAGACTATTGCATGTATAATGAAATACATATTATAAAATTCTCTACATAAAATTTCCATACGAAAGAACTCACGAAACACATTGTCTAAATAATTCCATAAATGAAAAACGTAGTTCATTGTGTCTTTGTTAATTATGGTTGCTTAAAAATAAAAGAATTGTTCATTCAATCCTTTGTACAGTAATACTTTTAGAGCTTCAAGGCTTTCTATACAGAAAAACAAAGAGTAAGTAGAAAGTTAGGTAAAACTTGTAAAAGTTGACGTACAAAGGTATTTTAATGAAAACCCCTTGTTAAGATTGCAAACCAGGATTCATCATTCAAGTTATTAATATTTTTATTGCGAGTTTTTAATGAAGATTCTGTTGTACGTTTCTAAATACGTAACTAACTTGAAAGCAATTATTCTTTTTGTTCTGGATATTGAACGGCAAGAGGTTTAGGGAGGGGACCACATTTGTCTGACAGACAGTTACAAAAAGAAGTAGAGTAAACCGACAGTCATTGGACGCTGCCAGTCATTGGACAAAACAACCCTTGAATTTTCTTAAAATAAATATTCCTTCAAATACAATGAATATTCCTTCAAAAAAACGACATTTTATCTCAATCAGTCGGAATCTCTCAGTTGTTGAAATAGAAATGCTATTTTTAATTCAGTAAATAACTGTCCAATAACTTTCTTAAGTGTCCAATGACTGGCAGTTTACTCTATTTGTTTTTAAAAATGGATAACTTAAAGCTTTAGTTATAAAATATCTTGAAGTGCGTATTTTGTCTTAGAGAGGATACAGCTTACGTATCATATTCAGTCTTAAATTTTACTAATCACAAGATCTCTAACGAATTAATCTCAAGACATTGGAGATGAACTTATCTATATGGTCGCACCATTAAAACTTTTAAGCTATGAATCCAAACAACTTGACATTAAAGAAATCTCCCGAAAGTCGTTAGTTAACACCCACACAGCGTATCATCGAATAGGTACAGCTCTATTACACCCACAACATTAAGATTAAATGGCAAAACAAGCCGGAGTGAGTAAGCGTGCGAGTCGAGCTTCCTCGGTTGGCGTCATAGGGTGGCCATTTTGAAATATAAGAAAGTTATTCATAATGCTCTTTTTTGCGCACTTAGAGTTTTTGAAATTTTTGCAATTGCATATTGTAAAATGTAGCTCAGAAATGCTTTAGATACTAAGTAAAGGCTAAGTGTATATGATCAAGCTGTTTCTAATCAACACACAATAGGTACATTTGGTAGAGACAATCTAGATTGAGGGAGGCTTCAGTAACCTTAGCCCAGTCCAGCTAATTCAGACCGCCTGGGCACCCTATCTGGCGAGGATGTTGACGCAGACAGACTGGCGACGAAGTATCGGCTCTGCGTGGGCCGACATACAATCAGATGACGCCGTCGTCCGACTCGGAAACACGACATACAGGTCGCAGTGCTCCGCTGTCCCGCAAGGCGGTGGTTTCAATGTAGTCGTACTCGTAATACGCCTTCAAACTTTCTTAATAAACATACTAGGTACTTTTATTTTAGACACGTTTAAATTGGGAATCACGACTACCTATTTGAACAAACAAAAGTGAGTAATTATAATGTTAGAAACTATAAAGCAAGTAACAAAAAAATAGATCTCATCAAAAATATGCCTTTTTTTTAACTCTTACATTATTTTTTCAGATAAAATAGATTCTAAGCTACGAAACGAAATTGAATTTTAGAACAGTCGCGAATATTATTCGATCTTGACCTCGACATAAAATGTCAAATTAAACAATAACATTAGAAAATATACAAACAAATCCGGAACTTGGCTTATTCGACGTCATCGTTTACACATTCTCGGGAATCTTGGCCATTAGTACTAAATTTCTGTCAGTGTTCGCATATTTCGCGTTACATACACAAGTGTCAATCACTCATACGCCCAACCCCTGACGGACCGCTATATCAACATTGCTCCATGGCTCATGTACTACGTGGCTCAAAAATAAAATTCCACCTATTTACGTATACCGGTTCGTGGAAACCGTTCAAACGATGCTGCAAAAATATTTCAATCTAAAGGTCAGCTGGAACTCAATATTAAGATTTTTTGTGCGCTCTATCTCCATATTTGATATAGTATTTTCTAGAAAAGCACAGTTATATTTTAAAAAATTCATAGCCTCTTAGCTAATAGAAACAAATATTAGTCTAAACTCAGATAGTCTGGCGTGTCTTTATTCTCTAAACTTCGTCACCAGTATTTTTATGAGTCATATGTGAGAGTATTTTCTAGTTCAGATTCGTAAACATAAAACTAACTTTGGACACACTTTGGATCTAGTCACTTGATGCTCTCAATCTTTATACTTGTCAAGTGATCTTCGCGTGATGCGGCAACACAAAAAGCTAAAATAAGTTACGGTTTCTGTATTGATAATAATTAATTGTTGAATCCACTACTTATACTATTCTGAAAAAAGAATTATTTCCTGCAATTATTGGGATGATGACTGGGTAATGAAATCATAATTGTATTTAGTCCGTCAGACAGATAATAAAAAATAATGGACATGTCTTTTTTAATTTTTTTCGTAAATACAGTCCTATTATATTCATTTGAAATGTCGCGTGACGTCATTTTTAGTAAACATCTAATAGGCGTAACATAACGTGCCATTTCAACTCGACGTAGCACTGTTATTTATTTAATTAAGAAATAAATAATACTAAGTCTAATATTTTCTAATTGTCTGTCTGACGGACAAATCATTATTTAGTCATCTAGCCTATAGTGAGTTTTTCTAAAGAAATCACAAAATGTTACAGAATGTGTTTTATAAAATCTTTTTTGAATACTCAATGGGGGAAGATTGTATAAAACGCATGCTGCATACGACTTGACAGCGAAGTAGAGTTGTTTTTCCCATTGATATACACGCTATAATTACTTAGATTCAGCCTACACATGAATTGGTAGATATAATAAAGTGCTATACCTATCGCCATATTATAAGCTTCGAAGACGCCCCAGCGCCCACGCTGGCTGTCGGGTCCAATAGCTTTATTCGAATTACCCAATAAAATTTCCTAGTGTTATCAACTTATCAGCAAACATACCATTAGCTAGCACATTTTTCCAGAGTAGATATCGAGTACACCAATCAATCAATTCTATTACATACAATAAATAAATTAGCTTAGGTAAGTATGTAACTTCAGTAACTTGTCACATTTCACGTAGCGGATTTGAAACGCCAGCAATACTATACAATACAATCAGAGACGATCCCAGATAGGGCAAAACCAAAAGTATTAATTTTGTCTTTGAATGTCTTAAGGATGTTAAAAAATAATATCATCTATACTAATATTATAAAGCTGAAACGTTTGTTTGTTTGGTTGAACGCGATAGTCTCAGGAACTGGACCGATTTGAAAAAATATCTTTGTGATGGATAGCCTTCATCGAGGAAGGCTTTAGGCTGTATAACATCACCCTACAGCCAATAGGGGAGA